AAAACCCCCCCCCCCCCCCCCCTGAGTTCGTTCATGAATTGAGTAAAAGTAAGATGACAGAAAACACAATTTCAAGTGCGTATTTTGAAATCAAGGCACAATACCAACAGAAAGAAATCAATTAGGAATTTTATCGAGGAGATATTTGCCTCATTATATTTTTAAGACTTCATGCCCTGGGAAGGTACCAATATTCCAATGAACATTGTCCATCTCATATTCCCGTTTACTATAAGGCAGCAAAGTCTGTTTTGATACTTTGTTTCAAAGCCATCAGTAAGCTTTGGGGTATATTACCTTTATCTACTGAAAATTTATATATGGGTCAGGAAAAAAAATAACAGGCCACTATAATCATGATCTGAGTATAGAACATGTAAGCTAGCGCATAACGTAAAAGCTAGTTTGTTCCCAAGATGACAACTTAGACCTCATTCACCACATAAATGTCCTTCAGCTTTCCTTTGGTTTCTTTAATCGGATTCTAGGCCATACAAAACTAATTCTCGACAATGTTTTAAAAAATTGGCTTTTGCAATTGCCCTCCCCCCTTGGGCACCATCAAGAAAAAACCTACGAAGAAGCAGGAATTTCAATTTTGGAAAGTTCAGTGAGAAAGTGCCAATCAAATTTAAAAAAGCATGAAGGAAGATGTACAGGTAAAATGAAATCAGCGGAATACGAAGAACCAGATAAGAAATATGCTGAACACTCCAACTAAAGAACCTTGCGAAATGATGAACTCGTAAAGAACATGGTTAATAAAATCCAATGATTTTCATTCTTTCAAGTAAAAGTCTGCAACAGTTGTTGTAGAACATTATTATTTTCGAATAATAATCGTTGTGTGGAACACTCATGAGGAAGGCACAGCCCCACTAGCCAACAGAAAAAAAGAAACTGTTTTACGAATTCATCGTGCGGAAGTTTGAAAGGTCAATAAGCCAGGTGATTACAAGAAGTCTTTTCATATTTCCTTTTTCCAACTTTGCCATTATAGCCTATATGGGGGTCGAAACATTGAGCTCTGGAAGAATGAGGTTTTCTACTGAGTCGAATCAGAATGCTCGAGAACTATGTGTTCGCAGCCCCCCGTTATAGCTACAGAATACACATAAATCAGTGTCTCGGAAAGACAGATTACTTTATGGTACATATTATTTATTATTTTGCAGTCGTTAGTTGCCGGAAGCCCAGTCGTTTAAGCCATACCTATTTCTAGCAATCTCAATGGCGTAGAACTGGATTCTGACGGCGAAAATCGTATTTTCTTGCGAGTACTCGTCTGAAGCTTTGGTTCTCAACAAGGTGCCGAAGTTGTAATCATCGATTTCCTTGAACTTCTCGCAAAAGTTTCTCCATCTGGTTTTTCCCTGTGGACTCTTCATCTCGTTTTCCGAGATTTGTGCGACATTGGCTTTCTCCTTGAATTCGGGAAAGTCTTCCATGAGGGCCTCGAAAATATCGTCGTCATGCTGGGTCAATTTCAACGCTGAAGCCTTGACTTTCGAAATCAAGCCCCAGTAAGTCTCGGCCTGCACAACAGCCTTCACGGCGAATTGCTTTTCGATATCCTCGAGGTTGTCTGCGGTTTCCGCATTAAATTGAGTGGCCATTGTTAATATGAAATGGAGATGTAATTCATCATGGTCGAAAAGGAGAAAAAATATATATGAAAAGGTGGTGCCTGCAGGCACTGATGACGATGCTCAGGGAAGAATCCCGAAAAAAGTGGAAGCGTCTAGAAGATCGTGAAGATTTCTGGAACGAAGGAAATTTTTTCTTTCAACCCAATTTTTTTGGGATACTCTGGTTGGATTTTGGCTTAGTTTTCTTTGGGTAGTATTTTGGCAGGTATGTTCCTGTGGGGGTTGAGGATGAGGTTGTGCGCTCGTACAACAGCCCGGAACTATGTGAGAAATAAGTAATTCGATTATGATGAGGGCCCATTCCCTCAAAGACAAACACTTAAGTACCCGATGTGATGCGTTGAATGAACTATCAGCGCGTGTTTTAGTAGGGTCCTTTAATTGAGGGTATTCAGACTGTACAGTGGTCCGACTTGGCTGACGCGTCCAAAAATGAAGTACGATGCATGTTGAAAATCAAAGGTTGTTTGTAAGCTATAGTGAGTAGATATGACAATATGAAAAAAAGATATGAAGTAAGAAATTGTTTGATTCAACAAATGGAGTAATATTTCAATCTGCAAGAACACCCATGAATATTGCCTGTCTCCCAGTTTGGCACTTGGTGTCGAATAAAACTATGCCGGTGTCTAAGACACAAAATGATTCAAATTCTTTGAACTCCAAATAATTCTTCGCGACTCTAAGTAGTCCAGGCATAAACAATGTAAGGGGGTTCATTGTGAGCTTCTTGTTTTCCTTGACCACCATGTATTCGAAGTTTTTTAACACAGTGTTCTGATTTGACACTTCAAATAATGCCGCCACTTCTTTACTTGCAAAAACTTCCCCACCAGCATCCAATGCAAGATATCTCTTTTGCGGTACACCCTTTTCTTCCTGTAAGAATTGGACTTCAAAAAAAAAAACCGCTTACCCTGAGCAAGGGCTAAAGAGATGAGAGGAAAAACAGCGAATAATTTCATATTGATAATCAATGAAGGAACAAGAAAAGGAAGGGATGTTTGATTCTCTTTATATGGGAGAGTTTCTGGACAGTGTCATTTTTTTAATGGCTACACGCTTACGCGGGTCGTCCTGTAATGGATAAAAACATTTGAATTGACGAGTGCTTATCCGGCAACTGGGCGAAGCCAGACGGGGAGGTTGCAGCATTTACATTGTTGCAGACAAGCAAAGTGCATAGATATAGGCTGTGCCGCGTGTACTACCAGATGGCCAAAAAAGGATTCCAGTTTGATTGTCTGACATATTCGAATAAGGAAAGAAAGTAGGCTTTCAACTTAACGTCTCCTCCAAATTCCAGTGATTTCACAGTAGCTTTCTTTTGGATCCCTCTTTATCACGGTCTGGTATTGCTCCAATATTCTACAAATATTGAATATATAGATATACGGCTACCTTAGAAACGCGAAAAGATTGTTTGTATTTCTGCTTGAGTACAGGATATTCTAACTCAATGTCCTGTCCACAAGTGGTTCCCAACTGGTACAGTTGAGATATCGGATTCGACATGATGTACTAGCGTGTGGAAATAAACCTTTATTTAGGATAAACAAAAACCACTGTTGTGTCAACTGACCTTATAAAAAGATCTCTAGAGGAAATTCTCTTCCCTTTATATACTTGTTGCGCTATTTGGTTTCGGGTAAGTGGTGCGAACTTTAATGTCTCATTTGTCACATGATTAGGGCGAAGCGTCTAGTTCTCACAAACATGACCATGTCGCAAGTAAGGAAGACGAACATAGCCAGAAAATGAGTCTCACTTTTCTTTGGGTGTTCAGCCCGGCTTGTCTCCAAATGATCACACCCCGAAGGTTTGCGACCAATTGTCCTTAAGTCACCAATCATGACAACTTATTCTTTGACGGTTCAAAATCAACTGCCAAAAAGAAAATGTGAAAACAGACGAAAAAAGTTTATGATAATCTACAATACTTCAACCCAAGGACTTGGTCACAAGAAATGTGACACTTTAGAAAAATCTGACTCGTACATATTGCGTACGTCGATACAGATTATCAGCTGTCAAGTTGAAAACCAGTCCATTGCCGTCGCTAGAAGGTCAGACGCACTATTTTGTTGGTTTTCAAGAAAACATTTTTGAGCCCTGGTGAAATCAGGGACAGCGAGTAGAAGACAATGCGGTTCAGACTACTAATAATAGTTTCAACCCCTATCAAATCCCTTGTGCACTGCTTCCACTACTTTATTAGAGTTCAAAGAAGCGAGCTCGATCTTCACAATATGTGTGTAAATACCAGCAAAGGTACAAAGAAAAAGCATACTAGCAACTGCCAAACACACCGAAACCTTCGTCGATGAAGGCAATGCTTTTATTTGGCATGTTACGAGAAGAATTCATGGAATCATGCATCTATATTATTGCACTACCTTTCCCTTGACGCGTAAGTCTCTAGTGTCTTCAGAAATGTCCATTCCCGGGGCAAACTAATTTGCCAGTGCAGTATAGTCTGTCAAACATCAATGTTCTCCCGTCACAATGGAAATTCTCTGGAAAATGGAGTTTTCTACCAATTTTTCTTTATTGAGGTCTGCTTGCCTTTTCTTTGAACGTGCCCCTTTCACTGGATTGGTCAGATACAGGATTCAGTGCAAGGAAACTTGGGACATACGTCATCATAGTCCGCAACAGATGCGTATTTTTCCAAATCTTTTCAAGTTAATAGCGAATAAAATTATATCTATTCTCGGGTATTAGCGGTTTGCCTGAAGGATGCATCAACGATGTTTCCTCAAACTTTTTGCCATCCAGTCTTTGGTTGCCCGACCAATATCACCGATAATTTAGACATAAATTCAACTGCAATGAAATGAGAAAGGAGCCTTAATGCGGAAACTTCAGGATGCATATGTTGGATGAAATGGATTAAGAATCAAACAATGCTCCTCGACTTATGTGTAGAGCCAGAAGTTATGAAAATTATCCTGAGTGCAAGAGCAAAGATAATTGAGAATTCTTCTGGAGTCTTGAATTCGGGCGCTTGGGTTCACTAGCCACTATTGTCATTTTCGTTTGATGTCAAGGATGCGAACAAAAAACCTTTTGCACCCAAGCAAGATCAGAAGCCTTACAGAAACTGCCCCGTTTACCGTGTCTCACCACAGCTCCTGAATTGTAGAGGACTGCTTAAATCAGCTTGCATTTTTAGCCTGATGGTTTTCTGCAAGGTGTTTCAATATCCAATCGGCAGCCCGCTCGCCACTATCATATGCCCCATGAACACATCCAGCACCATCGGCGATAGTGTGCTCGCCTGCAAAACGCACAGTAGAACTGATTCCCAAACCGCATGACTCGTATTCTCCTGAAAGTTGGATGATGGCATCGCTTGGATCGTCGCCTACATGCAAAGCCGAGTACGAGCCTCGAGAATACGGGTTTTGGGTCCAGTCTGTAACAATGGTGTTGATCGGCTCGCAAATCTGTTGCATGCTGATTTTGGCAAGCATGGGCTTCATGTAGGCCCACGCAAGATGCGGTTTTGCCTCCAAATACTCGGTGACTGGAGACTGCGTCAAGATCACCAAGCTGGCCGCGGAAGGCTGGATTGTGGCGTAGTTGAAAACATAGATCGGGTACATGAATGGCGAGATGTCGAGCCCTGAAGCTGTGGCCACATCAGCGCCGGTATTCTCATCTGCCAAAACCTCAAACGCGTCCTCCGAGGCATCCCACCAGATCTCACTGAACTCGAAAATCACCTTTCCTAATGCACCAAAATGTATGGTTTTGAGCGACTGCTGAATACGCGCGGGAAGCGGCGGGTCCCACGTGAGTCCGTACGAATGCTCGGCGTCAAGGGCTAGGATTGACTGCGGCACAGTGACCACGAGATAGTCCGCCGCAATTTCTGTGCCTGCCGCTGTTGTGACAAGATGACGAAAATTTTGGCCCGAGATGTCACGCTGGATTGTCGTGACTTGCTCGCTAGTCATAATGGTGCATTTTGTCTGAGACTGGAGCTTTTCTACGAGAAACGAGTACCCCTTTTTGTTGTACAAGTTGCGGCCCTGGTGGCTCATGACAGCATGTTTCCCACTCATTTTGTGGGCGCTGATTCCGTACCAAAGCTCGAGGTACCGACACATGCGTCCACACAATTGTTTTTGTGGCGCCGTCAAAAAACAGTCCTGTTTCTTCATGTATAAGGCAACGATCTCTGAAAGAGATACGTCGGGGACGCCTAGAGAGTGCAGGAAATGGATTTCGATGAATTTCTCAATATCCTCCACCACCTGTTCTAGTTTAAGGCCAGCGGCATCAACTCTGCCCGGATGTTCTTTGGCATAGTAGCACATATCCTTGTCATTGAAGTACCCGTCAGATTCCACGTCAAAAGACCCGTCCTCAATGCTGGAGTAAAGCACACTATTGGTCAAGGCATCATGAAACCACGCAGCGCCTAGGTCATATGTAAGGCCTAGTTTTGACAGCGTGGTGTCGGTTTTGATTCGGCCACCAATTCTGGCCTGTGCCTCAAGAATGATGACGTCAGACGGTAGGAGCAAAGTATCTTTGGCAGTGAGCAACTTGTGTGCTGCTCTGAGTCCGGATACGCCTGCACCGATGATACACACTTTCTTATGCATGGCCATGTTGAATATGGCGGCGAAATGTCGATTGAAGATCTGATATATCTAGACAAGGGTTGAGATTGAGCGACTCGGAGAACTACCCGATCAGGAAGTTGCAGGTGGTGCGCACGCGGCTGCGATAATCAGACCTGTCATAACGGGCTCAATAATGAAGAGGATTTGTTCAAGGCTCAAAGTCTAGAAGAGCTTGTGTCCCTATTTGCAGGCATTTGCGAAAGATAATGTCCACGCAATCGGCTTGAATTATATATCTTTTTTGTTAGATACATCTTATCTGTTTGAAGGAACAAAACTAAAAACGTATCACACAAAAATCTTCAAACAGCTCCCACATACGTACCTAGAGTGAAAAATTTGTCCTCCTGGCACTAATGGTGTCTTTGAAAGGTCTGGGGAAAATAAATTTGGTTAGCGTTGGAAGCCAAACATTATTTTTGCAAAAAAGATTGCAGCACCACAATTTCGCATATGGTCTCCCACTACACTACTCAGTGTGGCCCTATACAGCTTAACTAAAGTTGATCGGACGGGAAACAGTGCTTCCTGCATGGTATGGCCGCGACCAAAGTACTATTATGATACAGACTCGAGTTGTCTCTTAAACTACGAGTAGATCGGTTTATAGATAGTTCAGCCTTAGCGGATAAGCCTAGTCTATCTGTCGTATTCTCGATGTCTAAAAAGTGTTGTCCTTCTTCAGGGATGTCTCAGCCTCACGCTCCTTTATAGTTCGGAACCCTTCTATACAGTAGGTGAGGGGTAACCCCGATCAGGAATGTTTAGACTCTTCGTCCTTCGTATTATACAGGATGACGAGAATCTATAATCTTGTTCATGTCGTATCATAACAAGTACATATGGTTTGTTTGATTCTCAAACTAGCTTTGCTATGGTAAAATCGATAGAACATTTCCAACTAGTGAAGAGTAGACACATTCTAGAATTCACTGAGGTAATATCCAATAAGGGTATTGGGGAGCTCCTATACTTCAATAGACGCTTGGTACATAGCTGGGATTTGTTTAAAGGTTTTATATATATATATATGTTTTACATAGTTTTGCTTCTTTAATCAGATAAATCTACCAAGAAGAAATAACAATCTAAGAAACTCTCATTGGTTTGTTAAAGACGTTTACAGGAATGTTTGCTTAGGATCAAGGAGGCAAAGACAAATGTACGCCTTGCCGCTTTGTCAAATGAACTATGGTCACGGGCCCTCAGGAAAACTTATCCTATGGGACGATGACAATTAGCTATTATCATCCAAGTGCTTGGCATTGGCTTTGGGTAGAAGTCTTTTCGAGGTTACATCCTCTTTGGGAGATTCCGTAAATTGGAGCTCGCGCCTTTTCTCCTGAGCCGATGTTACGATCTATTATAGGGTTTTTCTTTATAGTTTTCGTTAGTGGTAGGGTTTAAAGCTCTTTAGTGAAACTCTATAATATGATTTTCCTAAAAAAAAATGAAGAGAAACGCCCTATCCAGTGTTAAGCGACGTATCTCGGCTGGACAGCTCGATTCCCGTATTGCCTCTCCTACAAGTGAGACTGGACTACCTCTGAAAAGTCCAAATAGACACGGTGAGTATTGAAGAATCTAGGAATAAGAGCTGAAAACCCATAAATTATTAGCGAAAGCTGTGTTAGGTCCCGCCTAACGGCTCAACACTACCGGCATCCGTAATCACGTATTATATTTATATATATATCTGTTGTGATATCAGATTTGATGTCGGAGCCCTCACATAATGTTTTTCTATTTCAAGGATATCTTATCTCCTATCTACTTGATCAGATAAATAAGAAGTGCACACACCTTAATGTTCCGCAAAGGCCGTTACAGCCTTCCTAGGGTAGCGTTTAGCCCCGTGCTAGAACTTTGCGATTTAAGGCAGCATTTTTATATGATTTAGTCTCTGTGATGTATTTAGCTAGATCGTGAATGCGAACTTTAATGGAACGTGAAGTTTGTGAATCGATTTGCTATCACGATGCCCAAGGTTTACACTCAAATACGCGGCATGTCACAAGAAGCACATTAGATAAGTCTTCTTCAACGATATAAGCTGATGCTGATTATTCAGGTTCATTGTATACTATCCAAAATGTGGACAGATGGGTACCAAGAGGGATTGCTCGGACCATGAGAGCGAGTTGCGGGTGATACCAAGTATTGGATGGGGAAGTGTGCAAAAACTTTAATACACTAATTTATTGTATTGTTTCCTTGACCCGATATTAACCAAAGAAAATAGACCCTGAAGCTATGAAGAAGAACCTTTTTTTTCTTTCCTTCAGCGGCAAGTAGAAGGTACGCAAGCACATCCTAACTGGCCTACTGTATCTTAGAAAAGCTGATAAGCTCCAAGTATGTGTCTATCTTTTCAGATTTTGCTGATTTTCAAAGCCGTGAAAATGAATCAAGTGGCGTTTATTTAATTTAATTAATGGAAACTGCATTTTTCTAGGTTGAATTGCCCGACGCACTTGAGGTAGTTTTTCTGCTAGTTCAATAAATTCAACAATTGAGGTATGCTCGGTATCTCACACGGCACAAAAGTCCCCATATTTTAACCAAACTTGTCTTTCACTCCGACATTTCCCACTGTAATTGCGAATTTTGTGCAATGAATTTTTTTGTGGTTAGAGACCCTGATTCTCTAGGTAGGACAGATTTTCCTGAGACCACCGTTACATCAGGAAGGAATTTGCCCTCATGGTCCAGCAAAAGCAGTGTGTTGAAAAAAGCCCGCAGTAAGCTCTCATCTTACTTCCGGCCCGATCACGCTTTAGAATCCGAAACTAAGCAGACGGAACTCCCAGACAAATCTGCGCCATTAACAGGAACCCGTGTAGATAGCGAGGAACATGTGCAAAAGGCCCTGGTTTCTAGGCGCAACATCATAAGGCGAGTGTTCAAGTAGCTTTGCGGTTCGTAGATACTTGATGCAGTTGGCATCTAAATAAATAGAGATCAGTTTATGAATCTAATATCCTTCAGCCTAGGGGAACAGTTTCTGTAGACGCATGTATATAAATCGGCAAGTTGCAATTGGAACGTCAGCAATAACATATAAGAAGGCAAAGAAGTATTGATGTCATGTAAAACATTTTAAGCCATCTTGTCGGGTGACATCGCAGCGGTTCACGATCGTCCATGTAGTTACAGGTTCAGTTTCAAAGTCCCAAATTCCTTTTCACCTGCTCCCTCACTTGCGCATCAAACGAGGCCCGGTCATCCCGCCAGAGCTTGCATGCATCGATATTGGCGCCGCTTTCTGGATTGGGCTCTGCCAACATAGAAACTACACTCAACAAGATTTTCTCGATGCTCTGGATCGGCGACCACCGTTCTTCAGGCCGCTCATACTGGTTGGGGTCTTCTCCCGGAGGATGCAAAATGCTGATGCACACGGTGCCATCCGCGTAGATATTAGGATGGAGCAATGGCGGGTCGAATTTAAGCACGGGCGGCGCCAAGGGATAGTCTTTAGGAAACTTCAAAATGGCACTGAACACGCCGTGTTCGTAGGGCGTTTCCGCCGGGCCTTCCAACAAGCAGTCCCACACAAAAAGATCGTTCTCAGAGATCGGGCCGGCCACGATTCCTGGTGGTGGATCTAGCGCAAGTTGCTGGTATTCTTTCAAAAGTCTTCTCTGTGCTGTCGTCCGCGGAGCCATGGTAATCTGCCAGAATGGGGAGAGCGATAAGAGACAGAAAAATAGGGGTTATTTAAAACAGCAGTTGTGCCAGCAGATGGTGCACCGGTGGTGATCTGGGCTAGAAAGAGCTAGATGAAGGGGGTTCTTGTTCTGTCGAGTTTGTTCCGGGGCCCCGCGCGCCTAGTGCCTTTTTTTTTTGGATCGGCCCGGGCCGCTGTTGGCCCTGGGGCCAGGAAGCGCGGGTGACCGACTGGGGCCACGGGCCCATAATATTTATCCAATGATTTCCGGACCTGGCCAGGGAGTGGGACTTTTGCTTTGTTTGCTCTTGCTTTTTTCCCCCTACAGTCCTTTTTGCTTTCAAAGTCATTTGTGGCGACTTTGCTGGAACCCGTTTGCTCGATAGCCTAATCTACTATATACTAGAGTCAGGTGAAAAGAATAAGGAGAGAGTAACTGCATCATCAGTGGAAAATTGGAAATGCGCCCGATGATAATTCTAAAAAGATAAGCGTCTCCCATCCACGTCAAATATCTATATCACAGTCCAATGCTCACCTTTAGCCAGTGAAAAATCGCTTCTGAAGTCATCAGCACCCTTCCAACATACACATAAAGCGATGTATCAAATGTACTGATATTTGACGAGCCAAGACTGTTAAATTTTGAACAGCTTTGTACATTTTGAATGCACTTTTGGTCATCCCCGAAGCATTCATCATCGTGACATTACAACATGGGCGTACTTGAGAAAGATCGCAACGTACTGGTCCTCCGTGCACTCATATCTCTAAAGTTCTCCAAATCACCTTTATGTGGGGGAATTTACACAACCAAAGAAGTGGCTTTCCAACGATAATAGACGAGATAAAAAATGACTCCGGCGTGATTCGAACACGCGCATCTTACGATAACAGAACTTGAGTCTGCCGCCTTAGACCGCTCGGCCACAGAGCCCTATTGGATTTGAAAACAGTTCTATGAGTAATAATTGACTTATTGATTTATACTTGAAAAGCGCTGTTCAGCGGATATAGGTCGCCTGACTTGGAACAGGCCCTTTGATATGAACTGCATTTTATTTCAATGTCTGGGGAATCTACCAAAAAAAAGAAAAAGGACGGA